TGTTCAGCCTAACTCACTCACATTGCCAGAGGCTTGGGGGAAGGTCTAGAAACCCTGCCAAATTTGGATGACTCCCCTAAATCTGGAGGGCCACCAAGAAAGACCTGGTAATGTCTGACCTAAGTGTTAGCAGCTGTATCCAAGGTTGCAAAGACCTTTTTCCTCTCCAGGATTCTGAATGAAAAAAATATACAAATAAACCTTTCCAATAAGACCAAATTGTCTACGGCCATACCACCCTGAACGGGCCCGATCTCGTCCAAATAAGACCAAATTACACATGTTTACCTTAAGTCTGGGACCCTCAGTAAAGCAGTGGAGACCAAATCAAGGATAAGAGGCCAAAGTTACTGCCTTCATACTTCTCTCTGAAGAAAAGAGACCTAGTTGTGAGGGAGTGGGGGCTTGTGGGTAAAGCTGACGGGCAAAAGCTGACAGCCACAGAGCTGGCAGGCATGAGCTCAGCTCTGGAGCTGGCAGGCGTGAGCTGCAACCACCAGAGAGGGGCGGGAAAGAACAGCGCTCGTGGTCGCCTCACACCTCTGGGTGTGAAGAAGAGGCCAAGGAGACAAAGAAGGGCAGTGGAGGGGCAGGGGGTACCTCGCTGGCCGGCCAGGGATCGAACCCGCGCTGCAGAGGCTGGGGACAGCTTCACAGCACTGCGCTCAACCCGCTGTGCCACCTGGGAGACCCCTATGCCTGCAAGTTTTAAAGAAGTATGTGTACTTAGCAAAACGTCATATGGACAGGTCCATTTTCCTGACAGCTGATTTTGGGGCATCCCCACTCTGCCAAGTCTCGAGTGAGACCTGATCTCCAGGTCTGCAGGGATGTAATGGTCAATTAGGAGACACAGAGATCCTTGAGACTGCAAAGCTGTGGATCACTGCCAGAACCTCCTGGATATTTCACATATTGTGTGATCCGGCAACCTTGTTCTGTTTCCAGAGTGGCTTTCAGAACGGAGGCCTGGAAGGGTCTTCCGAACACAATTTCAAAGAGGCTTAATTACAGCCCACTTCTAGGTGCCACTCTTACCCGGAGGAGGGGCAAGGGATGGTGCTTGGTCCCAACGAAGTTGTGTTTCTTGGCACAGTTTTGCCAAGGTTTTCTTTAAAGGTGTGGTTCATTTTTTCCATTTGTCCAGAGGACTGTGGCCTCCAAGCAGCGTGCAACTTCCAGCTGATCTGTAACACACTGCTCACTGCGTGAGTAACATCAGAGGCGAATGCTGGCCCATAGTTACTCTGGATGGAGTAGGGCAGCCCAAAGTGAGGGATTCTCTCCTTCAGCAGCTGTTTTGCCACCTTGGAAGCCTCTTCTGTCTTTGTGGGAAATGCTTCCACCCATCCCGAGAACGTGTCCACAAAACCAGCAGGTATTTGAAATTGCCTGTTGTCCTAGGCATTTGCGTAAAGTCATCTGCCAGTCCTCAAAAAGGTGCTTGCCCTGATATTGAACCCCAATGGCCTTAGGGTGGGTCTTGGGGTTATTTCTGGCACATATTTTACAACCTTGGGTGATCCATTGTGCTGTTTTATGTAAATATGGGCCCTTCAAATATGGGCACAGTTTCTAACGGGTCATCTCTCCCATAGTGAGATCCTTCATGCAGGTGTTTTGGCACTGGATACACCAGGGCCTCCGGGAGGAGTATCGTCCCATGGGAGTTTACTCTCCAAGTGGAGCTGGGGTCAAACTCTGTAAATCCCCATGCACGAGCTCTCTCCTCATCCCGCTCGGTGTATTCAGGAGCATCCTGAGTCAGGTCCACAAGAGGGATGAGTGCACCCTGGAGAGCAGAACGGGCAGCGGCCTTAGCCAGTCGATCAGCTGCCCTGTTGCCCTTTGCCATGTCAGACCCACCCTTCTGGTGGCCAGGACAATGCATCACGGCAACAGCTGATGGTAGAGCTACTGCCTTTAGCAAGGCCAGGATTTCTAATTTCTTGTCCCACCTGCCCGTCACGTCCCACCTGCCCATCACGTCCCCAGGATGGAGCAGCGACTCCCCTCAGACAGGTGGGCAGGGCACCCTCTGTTCACCCTAACACATACACAGCGGGTGACAACACACACTCACACAGACACACACATGAACCTATGAGCACAACTAACACATAAATATGACACATAGACGCAACATACAGCATCACACTCACCAAACACACAGGTACACTCACACCCACCACACACGCATTCACATGCGCACACACATACGCAACACACAAACACACACATGTAACAGGCACAAACACATCCGTGCACAGAAACACAAATACACAAATACAAACATGCCGTACACCCGACTCACATCAACCACTCCCAACGCAACTCACACACACAACACACAAACACACACCTCTCACCCCCACACGGGCACTCACCAGGCAGCTGGCACTGGGTACTGTGTGTCCACTGGGGCCGAGACTATCACCCCCACGCCCTGAGGAGGGAATTAATGGAGGGTGTCCAGAGGGCTGAACGCAGAGGAGACATGGCTTAATTTTGAAGCAAAATATTTTGGCCTTTTGGAAAGGGCTTGATCTGAGCGAACACCTGCTGCGCCTGCGTCTGGAGCGGCGTCTGATGGAGGCCGTCAGGATTCAACATTTTGATCTCTCAGGACTATGATCTCTGGGATTTTGGATTTTAGGATTTGACCTTCGGGATCAGGGGTTTGGGATTGTGTCTTTCAGGATCGTGATCAGCACCAAGAAGTAAAGTGCACATATGAAAAATGAAAAGGTGGTTGTCAGATTATCATTATTGGTAGATGCTATGATCTTATATCTGGGGAAATAAAGAGAATGCACTGATAAACTACTATAAAACGAGATCATTTCCAAGTTGATGAATGCAAAATTAAATAAAAAGTACAATAATTGACTAACAAAACAGTAGCCAAGTAGATACAAATTGTACTTTTTTAAATAACCAGAAATAAAATACCTAAGAATAACCTTTAACATTATGTAAAAAATGGGCCTCCCTGGTGGCACAGGGGCTAAAGACAACACTATCAAGCTATCACTGGCCACTGCCGCACTGTATTTGATCCCCAGCCAGCCAGGGAGCTACCCACATGGTGCAGCAGACCTCTCCTGCCTCCCTGCTGCTCCCCTCAGCAGTGGATTTCAGTAGATCAGCCTGTTCTGCTCCCCACTCTGTCTCTGGTGAATCCTCTCACCCTGTGCACCTCTGGCTTACACCTCCAGTTCTTGTATGCACAAATAAATAAATCTTTTAAAAATTATGTGGAAAAAAAAATCCACCTGAAGAAAATTTGAACAAGATTGTCAGGATGTGGAACAAGCAGAACTTTCACATGGTACTAAGGGAAAATAAAAGCAGGTCAAACCACCTGGGACAATCCTGGTAGTGGCTAGGAAAGCTCCCATCTCAATAGTCAGTGTCCAGCTACTGCACCGCGAGGGGGAGCCCAACAGAAGCTGGTGCACGTGTTCACTGAAAGAAATGCCTGCGACATTTGCAGTAGTGCTGCTTAGAACAACAAGCACTAGTAAATATCCATAAAATAGCAGTGTTCTCCCCACAAACAAGCAGAGAAAAGAAAATGGTGACTACGTGAGGTAATAGATATGTAATTAGCTTGGTTGTAGTAAATACCACCCAATGTACGCCCTTACCAAGTCATCAAATTGTGTACCTTTAGTATGTGTAATTTTTACTTACCAATTATATTGATAAAGCTGGAAAACAAAATCAACAAAGAGTTGTATTGATTATTTTAAATAAATAAGTAATAAAATAACTGGAAAATGTTTTCAAATGAAAGCAACATAGTTCAGAACAAATGAGTTGGTTTTATAAGTTATAAATCGGGTCACAGTCACACAGTGAAGTAGTCTATTGCAATGAGAATGAATAATTTATGGCCATAGTTGTAATATGGATAAATCTCAAAGCAAATGGTAAGAAAAAAGGCAGTTATGATAGAATATATGTTGTATGATTCTATCAATATAAAAATCAAAAACAACAAAGTAATCTACGCCACAAGCCTCAGCTAGAGGTCACCCTGGAGGGCACAGGGACTTCCGGGGTGCTGGCAAGGCTCCCTGTGTCCGAGTGCCAGTGCCAGTGCAGTGACTGTGAACACAGATGCCCCCTTTCTCCATGTAGATTATATTTCGATCAAAAAACCCAGAGCTGGAAAGGAAAACTCCATATTTGAAAAAGTCCTAAGTGGGCCTTTGAATTTCCTCTAATGAGGATTTTCGACAAGGCCCCTGCATTATTTCCTTCTATCCTGGAGAGGGACGTTTGCATTTACAACTGTAAGGACAGCGACTCCGGGGGGACTGACCATCCCAGGACACCGCCACCAGGGAGTCCCCAGCCCCACGCCCCACACCTCATTGCAGCCGCTTCTGCAGCCCTCCTCCCGCGGACCCCCGGCGTCCCCTCCGCTCGGGTAGGAAGGTCAGATGTGCTTCAGGGGGTCACCCAGGGCTCCCCAGGTAACAAACCACAGTGACACACTTGTCACCCGAGCATGAGCTGGGGACTAAGAGGGGCCCAAATGGGGCAGAGGTCAGGCCTGTTACCCCCACAGCAATCGGGCATGGGATGTGGGTGTTGGGGGTGGGGTGATCTTGGAGGAGGTGAGTGTCTATGGCACAGAGTCACCCCATGGGATGGCTGAAGTTTGGGGGCTGGGTGAGTCCTGAGCTGGCAGCCATGGACACTCCATCTGCTGGAGCCCAGGCCTCAACCAGGAACGGTCTGATGTCTCAGGGCAGAGGCCAGCACAGCCTGGACTGGGCACATGGGCCACGACCACGGGCATCCTGGCTGTATGACCCAGGGTCTGGGAACCAGCAGCAGAACAGGTGCATGGAGGGACAGGTGTGAGCCGGGCTATCTGCAGGGCCAGTCCAGTGACAGGGAAAAGTTTCCTTTTTCTCTGCAAAGGCAAACCCCCATCGCTGGCTCCGCCCACCTGAGCTTCCTGTGCTTGTGGCCCAGGGCTCAGGGCTCCACAAGGAGGACACACTTGTCCCCACTGGCAGCAGAAGCAGCAGCTCAGGGCTCTCCGGAGAACTCGAGACTCATCCGTCTGCAGAGAAGGTGAGGCCAAAAGGGCCGTGGGTGTGGTGATGCGCCTCCAGAGTATGAGTGTTGTGGGGGGACCATGGAGGAGAGCACCGGCGGGGGCTGGGCTGGGGGGGAGATTTGTCAGGAAACTAAGAGATTTCCTGGAGCGAGGCCACACGTCAGTTTAGATTTAATTGTTCATCTCATCGTTCATTTACAGTTTATTTCATTTGAATCAAGAGGCCAAAAAAATCTAGTAAGACGATCCCAGGTCATCACTTTGTGCCTTTCCTTACCCGGCTGTCAGTCAGGCATTCCTGGGAGAACCCCAAGTTCCTCTTGCTGGAAGATGGCCCCGGAGGCTGGACTCTAAGCAATAAAGGGTGCCCAGCTGTGGGGTGTGTCCTGTTCTAGACCTTTCCAATAGATTGTGTGTGTGTGTGTGTGTGTGTGTGTGTGTGGTGTGCACAGTCACGGATACACACAACTTCAGGATCACACCGACAGTACTAGTGGTGAATTATAAAAAGAGCTTAAAGGTGATTTGGTTCTTTTCCACAATTGCTGGAGGTTTTCATGCAATTCATGTGTTTTGAATCACTTGGAGTTTCTCTCGTCTGTTCTTTCTGTGATGTTCTCAGGCACACGGTTCTGTTCCTTGTTTCCTTTCATTTTTAAGAAGGAATTTTCAATATAATCTTGTTGTAATGTACAATATTTACATCATTCTAAAATCAAAATACGAAATACAGTGACTCTAAAGAAACCCGGGTTCTGCCCCCCACCCACCCCCAGCCTGTCCTCCTCAGAGACAGGGAGAGGGAGAGAGAGGGAGAGGAAACGCCCTTGCTGCGGGGTCTGACCCCTCGTTCTCTCTCTCACCCTCCCCCACAAGCCCTGGGCCCCACCTCCGCCCTGGGCTGCGGGAAGGAGCCGCGGTTTCGGGGCGCGAGGCCTCTGTCCCCCTGAAATGCGAGGACCTGCGGGGGGGGGCCCCGGGCCCGGGCGGAGCCCGCACCTGCCGGGCACTGTCTGCGGGGGACGCGGGGTTTGCCCGGAGACCCTTCCTCTGGGCCACGGTCCTCGGGGGGAGCAAGTGGGGGGCCCGCAGCCCGGAGGTCCCCCCCTGGCGCCCCCTCCCTGACGCGTCTTCACGTCCTGACCGCGCGGTGGCGCTTGTCCTGCGTCTTCTTTTGGGATCTCCGGAACCCCAGAAATGCCGCGGGGTTCCCTCTCTCCAGCTGTGGCCGCTGTCAGGAAGGCGGGGTGCGGCCCCGGCGCCTCACGGTCTGAGCCGCAAACCCCAAGTCCAGGTGTCCCCCTCGGGCCCGGGTCGCATCTGTGTTTTGGGGTAAATTTGGGAAAGTCCCCCCAGCTCAGGCTTGGGGGGCACGGGCCTGTCTCCTGCGGCATCGCGGGGCGTCGCTTCTAGGGGTGACATGTGGACCCTCCCGCGGGGTCCCGGGGAGCGTGAGGGGCGGGGGCTGCCCTCCCTGCCAGCCTGGCCTCCCCGTGGGCCCCACCCCTGCAGGGGCGCCCCCCTCGGGCCTGTGCGGCTTGGGGTGCAGTGTCCTGCCCGGTCTCCCCGCCCCTGTGTGCAGCCCCCTGCGGAGCCCCCCGGGTGAGTCGCCGCCGCCCCCTGTGTTGTCCCCTCCCCGGCCTGTCCTGGCTGCTTCTCCCGGCGCTGACCGCGCCCCCCCCCACAACGCGGTCTGGGAGTGAGAGCGTGTCCACCGGCTCTGGTGCTGGGTAGAGGGAGAAAGACCAGAAGCATGTTCTGCTGCTCTCCTGCGGGTGACTGGGAGAGAATGGCTCTTCCCAGGTTCCATGAACCATGTTTCTCACTTGAGCTCCCCCAGCCCCACCTCACCCTTCGGTTCTTAGGATAAACCCCACTAGTCAGGACGCGCCCTTTCTTACAGAGCCCCTGACTCTCTCCTGACATTTCCCTCCAGGACCGACCCCGTGTCCATGGCTCACAGTGAGGACAACGCGCTGAGGATCGTGCTCGTGGGGAAAACCGGCAGTGGGAAAAGTGCCACAGGAAACACCCTCCTGGGGAAGAATGCTTTTAAATCTAAAATTGCAGCCCACGCTGTTACCAAGACGTGCCAGGCAGAATCCCGGGGATGGCAGGGGAGGAGCCTTCATGTGGTGGACACCCCGGGGCTCTTTGACACCAAGGAGACCCTGGACACCACCTGTCTGGAGATCAGCAAGTGCGTCCTGCACTCGGCCCCAGGGCCCCACGCCATCCTCATGGTGGTGCCGCTCATCCGCCAGACGGAGGAGGAGCAGAAAACCATCAAGTTGATCAAGAGCGTCTTCGGGGATACCGCCATGAAGCACATGATCCTCTTGTTCACGCGCAAGGAAGATTTGGGGGACAGTAGCCTGAGTGAGTTTGTAGCAGAGGCACCAGTGCTGCTAAAAAAGCATGGTCTTCGAGTGTGGGGGCCGCTGCTGCGCCTTCAACAACAGCGCTGGGGCGGCCGAGAAGGAGGCTCAGGTGCAGGAGCTGGTGGGGCTGATAGAGAAGATGGTGCAGAGCAACGGAGGGCTGTACTTCTCTAACAACATCTATGAGGAGATGGAGAAAAAGCTCAAAGAAAAGGAGGAGAAGTTGAAGCAAAAGTACACAGAGCACAGAGATAAAAAAATTAAACAGGTAGAAAAGGAAGATGCTGATAAACCAAGGGAAGACAGGGAAAGGAAAATCGAAGCGCTGCAGAGGCAATGGGAAGAGCAGAGCAAACATGCAAGGGATGAAGCTAAGGACGGTGTGCTGGACGACATTGTGAATTTTGTCAATTGGGTCAAGGATAAACTGTCAGGAGTATGGGACGGGTTTTGGGAGTAATGTCAGCCTCAGCTTCCTTCCCAGTCTGTGGTGACGCTAATGCGGTACGTGCGTCCCCACGTGAGGCCGTGGCAGTGTGTCCTGTCTTCCTTGTCCCTGCACCCTGACCTTGTTCCCTGCCATTGAGCGGTGGGGTCTGTGTTCCCTGCCTGACGTGGATGGACAGCAGGTGGCTGACGCAGCCCCAGGGACTTCCCAAGTGGAGCCAGAACCTGCCCCCTGCTCCCTTGGGTGCTCGCCCTTGGACTGGCCACCATGTGGTGAGCAAGCGCACAGCACCACCGAGAGCCCTCCATGGACAGGAGGTCCACCCACTGGCCCATCCAGGCTGACCTTCCATCTGCAGCACAAGTGAGGAACAGGGACGTGGACGTTCTAGCTGCCCGAGGGCCCATGAGGCTGAGAGAGCAACGATGAGCCCTCCCTGCCCCAGACCCGTCCACATGGGATTCATTAAAATAAGTGATTCTTCCTTTGAACCACTAGGTTTTGGTTTTTTGTTTTCAAACTTTTTTGAAAAAAGATTTATTTATGCACACAAGAGCTGGGGTACAGGCCAGAGGTGTGTATGTGGGGGTGAGAGTATTTCCCAGAGGCAGAGTGGGGAACAGAACAGGCAGACTGACCAAAGTACGCTGCTGGGGGGAGCAGCAGGTGAGTCAGGAGAGGTCTGCTGCGCCATGTGGGTAGCTCCCTGGCTGGGGACCAAACTTGTGTTGCAGTGGCTGTGGGCAGCTTCATAATAACACCTTGTGCCACGAGGGAGGCCTCAACTTGTGTTGATGTTTTAAAGAATCGTTAGTGACTTATTATTGATGCCTCTTTATACCAATTCACACATCATTTAAGACTTCAAAATAGCGCAGCTTTATGTCTCCACTATTTTGTATAACTACACATTAGCATATTTTGTATACACCTACATTCTCGGTCATCTTTGCATCATCTCTACCGTCTGTCACTGGACCGTGGCTCACGGTGGCGCCACAGGCCTAAAACAAAACACCGACGACAAAGCAACCCTGTAAAGCAGACACTGTGCTGTGCGCCAGGGAGGATGGAGTCTCCACTCTGGGCTGTCAGTCACCTGGAAGTGTGGTGGGGAGGGGGAGCAGCTCCTTGAGTCAGTATAAAACTTAACACTTATTGAAACATCCTTATCTTTATATCAGTCATATTATTTATAGCAAATCACAACTGAGTGTTCCTGGCTGCCTCTCCCATGTGTAAGTCCCCACAGGCAGGGGGTTGCGACATGCAGATAACTTGTCCTTGCTCCCTCTGCTCCCTCTGCTCCCCCACCCCCTTCCTCTTACCCTTTCTCACCTTCCATACCCCCTCCTGGACCCCACCCCCTCCCCATCCCACCTTCTCTCTCAATCCCCCCTTTCCTCAGCCCCTTCCTGATCTTCGGCTCCTCTCATCCGGCCTTTAAAAAAATAAATAGACTTTAATTTGGGGGAGGGGTTTTAGGCTTGTAGAAAAGTCAAGTTCCTCATGGTTCCCCTGTCATGAACACCTCGTATTAATGAGGTGTAATTGCTGCAGTTGATAAGCTGATACAGCCACAGCATTATTAACTCAAGCCCATAGTTTGCAAGAGGCTCCCGTCGGATAGGGATGGGATGTGGAGTGACACCATTAGTCTCCCCTGCCCAGAAGGCTTCTGTGCTCCACCTGCTCAACCCCCTCCCCCCACCTGTAGCCACTAACCCCTGAGTGTCTCCTCCCCCTGCCTTTTCCAGAGTGCCCCACAGTTGGCTTGTTGTAGGGGCAGGAAGGGACAGCGCAGGTTTTCTATGATCCCATGCAGACGGGGTAAAAGAGAGAGTCCTGGAGCCCTCGGTGGCTTTTGTGGGCTTTTATTGGGATTTACCAGGTACATGGCAGGGAGGGGTGGGGGGGCTGGGGTAGTGCCAGGAGGTGGGCAGGCCTCCCAGCCTCCAGCAAGCCTTCATTCTTCCAGGGCTCCCTGGTGGTCTCTCCTGGCCTCTTCTTCTCTCTCTTCTCATGGTTCTGCTCTGCTCCTGGCATCCCGGTGACGCCGCCCGTATAAGCCCAGTTTCTCAGCCCAGGTGTGCCCACCTGCACATGCCCACACCCCACTCCAGGTGCCACCATCAGGCAGGCATTCAGGACCGCAGGGTCCATCATCCATCCTGATGGCGGGAGGGCAGGAAGCCTGACACTCCTTTGCCCTTCACTTATGCAGGAGGCAGGGTTTCCAGGCCAGTGTCTTTCCCTTCGTCATGGGCATTTGCGATTTCTCCATCTTTCTGAGGCGGCAGCTCATTTCTTCTTGGGGCTGCACAGCACCCATCACCCAGGGAGCACTGCTCACTTCTCCACTCGCCTCCCAGTTTGGGGATGAACAAAGCTGCTGTGAGGTAGCATGAGCAGCCCGGTACTGCTGTGTGGGCACGAGTAACACATGTTTAGGTTACAGGACAGGATGGAGCTGTCTAAGGCCAGGCACCTTAAAGGAGACACATGGCGACATTCACGACAACCTGACAACAGGCAGCAGGGGCGCCGCTCGCCTGCTCGTGACATAGCCGTGGGGAATTTTCTGCTCATCAGTGACTTCAAATGGGACGATCTTTCCAGACTCTGGCTGTTTTGTTTCACTTTATCACCCGCGTCGGTGGGGGAGGAGGAACTATTGCTGATCTCCGTAGGGTCTCTCCAAGCACCCTGACAAGTCCCAGGCCTTGGGGGTCCCCGGGTTTTGGTTCCTTCCCACAGTGGGGTACTTTGGTAAATAAGGGCGTCACCCACCTGCAGGGCCTCGGACATGGAGGTTATTTTCGCGGAGAAAGCAGCAATTGTTGAGCACAACGTCACACGGGCTTCTTCCAGGGTATTTGCTGTTTTCCCTGTAGCGACAGCGATACAGTTAACAAGTTTGTCTTTTCCCCGTTTCCTGCAATTCCCCTTATCTGGCATTAACAGGATGAATAGCTTGTCTTTCCCATTTGTTGCAGCTTCCCCTCCCCTTGGGAAGAAGAACAAGCTGGCGATCACCGTCTCTGCGCTGACCCTTCCCCTTCCCTGACACCATCAATCTCTGTGAAGACCCTTTCCCTTCACCATCTCTGTGCTGACACTTCCCCCTGCCCCTTGATAAAACCAGCTGGCACTCATCCATGTCCGTGTTGAGCTGGCACCCACTTGTCTCCATGAGGACCCCTGCACATCTCCCCCTTGTGTAAATGCCCCTGTGTAAGGTATGGTAACAGTATCAGGCTTTTCTGCCCTCCCGCCATCAGGATAGATGACGGAACCCTGTGGTCCTGAATACATGCCTGATGGCGGGCACCGGAGCAGGGTATGGGCATGCGTAGGTGGGATTCACCTGGGCTTAGACTGGGTTTTTAGGGGTGGCATCGCGGGGACCCCAGCAGAAGCCAAGAGAGAAGCAGAGAAGCAGAAGCCAAGAATGAACAGAAGCTGAGAGAAGAAGAGAAGCAGAGAGAAGGCCAGAGAGCCCAGATAGAGTGAGGATTGGCTGGGGGCTGGGAGGCCTGCCAGCCTCCCGGCCCCCCAGCACCCCACCTGCCATGTGCTGGTTAATGTAAATAAAAGACCTGCACAAGCCACTGAGGACTCTGACTCCTCCTTTACCCAGCGTAACGCAACCAACCCATTCCGGGTAGGTTTATGAATGGTTCTAGCAGCCACATGCTCTTCGCTGGTGTTTGTAGTTGCCGTCCTCCTCGGGACACTCCACTGCACTCCTCCACCCTCGACACCGCACCGCCCCTCCGCACTCTGCTGCGTCACCCTTATAAACCAGTCTCTCAGCCCAGGTGTACCCACCTACGCACGCCCACACCCCACTCCATGTGCCCGCCATCAGGCAGGCATTCAGGACCGCAGGGATCCATCATCCATCCTGATGGCGGGAGGGCAGAAAAGCCTGATATCTTTGACCTACCCTATACCTCCCCTCTTCAACATTCTCATTAAGTTTGTTACCTCACAATTTCTATACCTACACCTACAAATGATACAATTATCAACTTGTTTCTCCTGCAGGACCCTTCCCCTTTGAGCAGGTCAGCCAAACTTTCTGCCCTAATCTTCCTAAGGGCCCCAAAGCTCTGTTGATACTCCAGGCATCACTGATTGTTTGGCAAATCTTCCGAAGTTTCACGCTGGCTTACTCTCCCTTTCTGATCCTTGGGCTTTGCATTCTGAACCTTTGTCATGGGGGAGAATCAGGTGCAGGCCGGAGGCCCAGACCAAGTGAAGAACAGTCACAATTGTGTTACGGGGCAACCCTGATATAAAACGGGTGGCCTGACTGTGGGTCCCCACCTGTGCTGAAAAGGGACTTATGAATACTCCACTGCAGGCAACACACAAGGTTCATAAAAGGTTTATTTACAAAGGAGGGGGAAATGAAGAAATGAATAACTCAGGGAGAAAGACGGAGATAAACTCATGAATGTGTCCTACCCGTTCCGCCCACCTGCAATCCCAATGGCACCCTGAGAGCTGGCGAAGAGCCAAGAGCCACAAGGCCAAGAGAGAGACCCAAGGCCCACGTGTCTGGTTTTACACCAACCCTGGCTGCTCAACTCCACGCTCACGTCCCAGCAGCCCTCCCTTTGGTGGTGATGGGATTTGTCATTCCCAGTGTCCTGACGGCTTTGGTCTGGAGTGGGGGTGGCGTCCACAAAGCCTGTATGAAGTTTGCTCAGGACATCCTTTCCCCCTAACAGAGTCCCCATATAATTCCCATTCCCCTTGTTTTGATCCTACTCCCTTCTCCGCCCCCCCCCACCCCGTAGTGTGTCTCTGGTTTATAGCTTCTTTAAAAATCAATATAAATCACATGGACGTTGGATCCCACCATACACTGCCTAAAAAAATGCACACGCTCCTTCTCACAGCCAGTGAGCAATATTTTGCACCGTGTCATCCTCCTTGACTCATCTACCCCGCAGAATTGTGTCTCACTGTAGTGAATATTTATGCTGGAAGATCCTGATCCCCTTCACGTTTTTCTGTTGCAAAAATGTCTGAAAACTGAAAAAAGATCTGAGACCATAAAGCTTTAAGAGGGAAATATTTCTTTTGTATTTAGTAATTATTACAGTGTCATCATTCCACAATTAATCAGTACAACATAACAATGTCACGATATTTGTAAAATAATTATTTAACAGTAGCTTTTATTTGGAAAATGCATCTTTCAGGGGCATGTGTGCAACTTTCCCCATTATCCGACATGAAGCTCTGACCATCACTTGAAGGTACAACGAGGTGACGTTCAGATCAATTCATTCCTCTTTTTTGGCGTTAGCCGGGGCCAGCCCTGAGAAGCCTTGTCCACATACATAATAAATGGAAATGGAAACAATTTCCTTGTGACGGTGGCGCTCAACTCTTTGACCTCCTTCCAAGATAAATGCCCAGAGCCGCAATGCCATAGCGATCCATGGTTAATTTTT